GTTGCCAGCATTTCCAGGCCAGACTAGCTAATCTAGCATTCCTAGGCTAGTCATTAGCTTACTTTGGTGAAACATTAGCAATAAGTGCACATTAAGTTCACGTGTTGCACAGGTAGGGATGAAGAATGAGGAACAACATGCAGCAGAAATGATAAATGAGGTAAACAGTGAGTTTAAACACCTGCAGGTTAAACTCCAACAGCCTGCAGCTCCTTCCAACACACAGACACACTAAAAGCTTTATGCTTCATTCTCACAGTAATCCAGAGTAGCTGCTATATTATATATATATATATTATAATACTATAATCTTATTTACTCCTCTCAGCCTTCTGAACTGCACAGATCTACTCTGCAGCTACATGTGATTCATTACAGCATGATGACAGCGTCACTTTCCCTCATCGAGCTTTTTAAAGATCAGCGTTACGACCAGTGTTCTGGCTAATTGTTGTAATATTTCCTATAATCGTGAGTAATGCAGACAGTATGTGCAGATTACAGAAGCTCTGATGCAGACGGCGGCGGATTAAAGCTGCATCATGGATGAGCTCTGATGTACATGATGGACGCAGCAGGTCGACCTTCTGACCCGCTGTGGAAACGTCTGCTTACGGGAAGTCCTGTGACGTGTTCCTCTACACAACGAACACTCATACGGGCGGTTTCTTCAGCACAAGGTTTCATCCTCGTTAAAACTGAACGTGTCCAGATTAACAGCTGCTCCGTTTCTAGAAAAAGATGCTGAAGTTAAATCTTCTGAATGTTAGTTTAAAGGTCCTATGAGGTTAAATTCTATCTTGTTGTGTTTTATGTCTTACATACTTCTAGGTGTAAATAAAAGCTGTTACAGTAATGTAACGATGTTTACTTCTGCCATTCCTAACCCTCCCCCAACCAATAGCGGTGCAGCTTTGTGTAGCCCCGCCCCCTCCTTGCTTCCAGATGAACCAATCAGCTGCCTCATCAGGTTTGTTTACTCTCTACAGCTGCTTCTGCTAAACTCTAAAATGTCTGAACAAAACTCACCAAATGTTCCGCTGCAAGAGTGAACACGAGCGTCTTCGTGCACCGCCAGCATGAGAGGAACCCAACACCTCACTGGGATTACTGGGATTACTGGTGGTCCCCACAGCTACAGGACAATCCTCAGTGTTAGCATGCTGTGCGGCTAGCGGGGCTAGCATTAGCTTTGATGGTCAGAGTTCTGTGGAAGCTGTAACACCGGGTTTAGGTTGGACTCACCTGTGTGGGCTCACCTGTGTGGGCTCACCTGTGTGGGCTCACCTGTGTGGACTCACCTGTGTGGACTCACCTGTGTGGACTCACCTGTGGGCTCTGAGCTTCTTAAAGTCCTCACAGTTCCATCTGAGATCAGTTCTTCAATGAAAACTTGCATCAGAATCACAGAAAGCAGCAGCAAGTGAAGCAAACCTCATTTAGACGAACCAAACATCCACCTGCTGCTGAGGTGCGTTTGATTCCTGCCGCCTCCTCAGGATGGACGGGTGGTGCTTAAACGAAGATGTAGAGAGACATTTTATTCATGTGTGTTTTCCTTAGAAATAAAAAAGAGCATTTTTTATTTTAAAAAAAAAAAGACAAAACAAAGTCGATGCAACATGTTTTTACCTGACAAACCTCCAGAATGTTGCTGCTGCTGTTATCAAACATGAATCTTTTACAGAATCTATTTAAATTACATTTTTATCTTTTTATTCACAGATATTTTATGGCAAGGGGGAATAAAAGCGTCTTACCAAACAGACAGATGAGACAAGAGAAAGAAACCCGAAGCACAGATAAGACAAACTTCATACATTCAATAACTGAATTAATTTAAAATTAAAAAGACAAGTTACATGGAAATCATATTTAACCAATACAGGAACAAGTACCACCACTGATATTAAAGTTTTGACCGACTAACTTCATAATATGCATAGTTTAGGTGTATTAAACAATCTATATGTATTATTAGATTTATTATATCTTCATCCAAATGAATTACCAGAAAATTAAATACATGGTTGAGATCTGATTTTCTGCCCTCATAAAGAGTTTATGTAGAGTTTATCCAACAGGCTGCACTGTTCAGGCTCATTTATACAGTAAATAACATTTAAGTTTGTCCATTTATATAATAAATCACAGTGACTGGACGTAAAGGGCCAAAACCTCATAAAGACTCATTTTTGGTCAT